CAGTTTCTTCTGGCTTTTTAATAATGTCTTGTCAATGGCTCTGTTCCCACAGAACTATATATTGATGGCATGGCAGAATGCAGGTAGAATTATTTTCTTAGTATAGTTGTAGAAGATATTCAATTAAAGTAGAGCATTGTTGATACAAGGTATTGACTTCCGCATACCTGACTTTAATTCCTTTCGACATAATACAGCACGTCTGAAAACACTTTGCCCACCCCGAGCTGTGAATTAAGCAGCCTACTAGAAACAGACAAGCGAGAGGCCTAATATATCCCCATCTACATTAGAAAAGTCTGATTTTTGTTACATACAGCAAGGGCTCAATTGTGCTTTAAGGCACAGCCCTGCTTTGGGGGTGGCATGGAGCTGCCCTGACCCTAAGATTCCTTCCTGAGCTCCCCACTGCTTTGGGGGAATAGGGGGAATAGGTCTGCTACTACTACCTCTTTATGGAGTGCGGCTTACTCCCCTCTGCATGCTGCTGGCCTCGTTCAGTGGGCAGGTGCAGAGTGGCATTGGAGCTAAGGACCTCTCCTTGATGGGGCTCTGTGTGCCCCCATGTTGGCTCAGTGAGAGCAGCCCTTCAACTTTGGCCTGGCCCTTATGCAGATTATGCAAAGGAATAAAGGCTGCTTGCGTCCCTTCCCCAATCACTGAATATCTGCAGACAGGCCATGCACACGCAGGCCCAAGAGTAGAATGGAAGTAGCCTGGAATTGGGCATTTCTGTGGGGATTTGGGTGTGTCTGAGGGTGACTTATTGTCTGGACAGGTCAACATTTTCCACATTTCAAACTTTTATTTGCTGTGTTTTTTCAATTAGTTCTGCTCTACAGCACCTCCTTACAGACATTGGGCCACACTGGTATAAATGCAGAGTAACTCTCTTGGTAAGTGTCACTGAGATCAGAATTTGACCCGGTGCTGCCCCTTCTAGATAGTTATTTGGTAGAATGATAAAACCAAAATCATCTTCCGTTCGGGCCAAACCCTGATGCAGCTGAAATCAGAAATCCATTTTTCTTGTGGGCCAGACAGGTTGATATGGAGAAAAAGTCTCAAGTTTGATTTTTTTTTTAAAAAGCTCCAGCCACAGATAGGATTTCATGCGTGAACCTGGGGACTAAATTCCAACCCTATCTTTCATGATACATCTAAAAAGAAACCTTGAATACACACAACAGAATCTCTTTGTTTCTGAGGCCTTGGCTACACTTGCGAGTTACAGCGCTGTAAAGTCGCCCACAGCGCTGTAACTCACTGATCGGCTACACTGGCAAGGCATGTACAGCACTGTATCTCCCTGGGTACACCGCTGCAGGTACTCCACCTCCCCGAGAAGCATAAGAGATACAGCGGAGTGGCTACAACTCTCCCCTGTGAGTGTGTACCAGGAATCAACCCGCAGCGCTGTACTGATCACCTTGTCAAGTGACCAATCCTCTCCATTGTTGTGACCGGCTGCAGGAATGCGGAAGTGCCGGTTTCAAAGCTCGTACCACAGAGAAAAAGCAAACAGTTTGCTGTTTGCTTTGAGTGAGTGAATGAATGAATGAATGAGCAGGGGGCCGGGAGTTCGGAACTTGCAAAATAGAGAGCTGACACGCTCCAAAAAGCACTCTCTCTCCCCCCACACTCCCTGTCACACTCCACCCCCCCTCCCCCTGTTTTGAAAAGCACGTTGCAGCCACATGAATGCTGGGATAGCTGCCCATAATGCACCGCTCCCAACACAGCTGCAAATGTTGCAAGTGTGGCCATGCCACTGTGCTGTCAGCTGTCAGTGTGGACAGACTGCAGCGCTTTCCCTACTCAGCTGTACGAAGACAGGTTTATCTCACAGCACTGTACAGCTGCAAGTGTAGCCAAGGCTTGAGTCGGGGAGAACTGAGAAATCACAGTTCGGCAGTTAGAGATGACTATATCCCTTAGGCAGCTTAAGGCAGAGAGAACATGCTATTGCTTATCACTTTATCTTTCAGAACTGAAATCACTTTATGAATCCTTCCTCTCTTATTTGCTGGATTTGTTGCAATCGTAGGGCTTCTTCTTAAATTGCATTTGGTCTCCAAACCAGATCAGAGCAGGAAGTTCATAACTGTCTGATTCCCATCTGAACAAATGTCAAACTAATTTAATACGGGGGGAAAATTGAAATTATAATGGTCCTTTCCCCCCACCACACCCTCGAACAAAGTACCTAGATATTTTCCTGTTCTGCCACCTCAAAATGAAATACTCAAAGTAGGAGCAGCAAACACACAGCAGTAGATTATGGTAAAGATCAAGCTTAGGAGTGCTAGGAATGCTAAGATTCCTGGGAGGATCAGCCACCCCTAGGACAAGGGATGCTGAACAGTAAAACATTTCTAGGGACAGACTTGAGTTACAAGGGGGGTTTCTTTCCCCAGCATCTAGTCATTATAATACAGATGCTCCCCGGGTTACACAAGACCCGACTTACGCAAATTTGCACTTACGGAAAAAGTTCCATAAGCCAGAAATAGGATTTTCGAGTTGTGGAAATTTTTGCATAATGTGCGCGTATAGGTTTCCGACTTACGCAAAATTCGAGTTATGCAAGGCTTTCTGGAACGGAATGATTGCGTAAGTCGGGGGGCATCTGTACAGGTAGTTTTGTTAGAGTAAAATATCCAGCTATGAAAAATAACAAGTGTCCCTGTGTTGCAAAAACTAGACTCAGAGGCAGCAAACAATGTGGAAAAATAAAAGCATGGAGCTTTTGGGTGTGTTCGAAGCCTGTTGAAGTCCATGGGAGTCTTTGCATTGGCTTCACTGAGCCTTGGATCAGGCCCTGGCTCTAGAAAAAGACAGGACGTAGGGAAGAATTCAAGTCAAAAATTCCTGGGATAAAACTGTGCGTTTCTTGTTTTCCAAACTGAGATGCTGCAAATAATTAAATGAAATTCAGCTGTGGTGTGTGGCAAATTGTGGGTAGAGTCCAGCGAAGGGATTCTTGGCTGCAGCAAATAAGCTACACCTATTAGTTTAAACAAACTTGTCACATTTTCCAAAAATTATCTGCATGTGGCTCCTGAGGTTAAACAAAAAGTTCTGTGTTGCATGAATAAAGCACATGATGAAGATGAGAGAGAGAGAGAGAGAGAGGCAGACCCAGGCAACAGATTCCTTCAAGTTAAAATGACTGGGGCAAAATGAAACCTTTGGACCCTATCATCCCCTCCCAAGGAAATTCCCTCAGAAAGAGCTAAGTTGTTCAGAAACCTTTGCAGACCAGGTACTTGGCCCCATAGGCACCAACTCCATGGGTGCTCCGGAGCTCAACCAGCCATGGAAAAAAAGTAGTGGGTGCTCAGCACCCATCAGCCACAGCTGTTCCGGGGAGCCACCGATCAGCTGTTTGGCAGCTAGGGGTAGGTGATTGGGGGAGGGCAGTGAGCAGTGAGCAGTGGGCAGGTCAGAGGTCTTGGGGGAGGGGCGGGAAGAGGCGGAGTAAGGGTGGGGACTCGGGGGAGACGGCGGAGTGGGCTGGAGCTTTGGGGTGGATCTTTGTGCTCCGGTGATTCCCCAGCTGCGTAATGGCCCTTGAGGGAGGAGTCTTGTTACCAGCCAGTGTAAGTTAACCTTTATCAAGCTCTTGGTGACTCCAGGACTAAGGGAATAGAAAGCTCTAAGAAACTGTCCCTATGACTTTGATGGGCCTCAGCTTGTCTGGCTATTAGCACATTTTGATATTCTTGGAGGAAAGGTGTGATATAAGTGCAGAAGATTGCTGTTATATTAGTTATTGACAAACTAATGCAGTTTTTTAAAAATTGGAATAATGTTTTTCCAGCGTTATGTGTTCACAATAGCTATATTGATCTGATCGTGTTATTAACAAATAGTCTACTCTGCTCTGAACTACATGTTAGAAACAGCTACTGTAGGCTCCTTTGGATCCACAGGTGCAGCAGTGAGGAAGAATGGCCTTGTAGGTAAGGCATTAGCCTTGTACCTGGGATATTAAGGTTCAGTTCCTAGTTTTGCCATAGACTTCCTATGGGACGGCAAATCACTGGATCTCTCTGAGCCTCAGTTCCCCATTTGTAAAATGGGGATAATATTATCCTACCTCAGGAGTGTTGCGAGGATAAATATTTGGGAGGCACTTAGACATTTCAGTGATTCAGGGGTGGGGCGTGTCATGTAAATACCTCAGTAAATACAACGTTCTTTTTTTTAAAAACTGAATCAAATAGAAGATCCTAGTATTCAATCCTGAGAAATTGAAATGGCATGAGAAGACCAGGGCCAAGAATTTCAAAAGCTGCAAAGTCCCATTTTCAAAAGTGACATAGGCACTTAGGCTCTTAAATATCACTGAAAGTCAAAGGATTCCTTCCTTCCTCTCTTTTGAAAATGGGACTTCGGCGCTTTTGAAAATCCTGTCCCTGTTCATCTCATGCCATTTCAGTTTCTGAGGTGCCTTTGAAAATTTTCAGCCCCCTTAAGAGGCTCTCTTTGGCCTCAGAAATGCCAGTGAAACATATCAATACATATGCTAGACCCTGTGCATGCCCATTCAATTCTCTGCTGTAGAGAGGAGAACAAGGGGCTTTTCCAACAAATGCAGCAGACACAGAAAGTAGGTCCTACGTGCTCAGTACATTGAACTGAACAGAAATATGTCAGTGAGCTAATCCCTACAGTACATTGGGACACCTCCGTGGAAAAAGTGTTCAGGCCCATGGAAAATCTTTGAACAGTGACATTTGCCTGCTCCAGCATTCTCGCTTTGCATGGCTGAAGATACATTTGTGCACAGAAACTGAAGCACTATGTCATCTTTATCAGGCACATGGTGTGGAAAGGTTCAAGAGTAACTTAGGCAGCAAATGGTACAAACCTCTTGCTGAGTGATGTTCATGTAAACTCTTCTGAGCTTCAGAATAGCATTCGATTACCTCCAGTGAAAGCATTTCTTCATTAAACTTCTCTGTTTAATTTTCTTGTTTAATTCCCTATTGCAGGGCTGAAGGCAAGACTTGGTCTCCTAATATTCTAGAAGATGGAAAAGCACAAGCTTACCGGATCAACATAGAGTCAGAATCACAGGTATGGGAGCAATAATTAGCTATCTACTAGCCTGGTGAAAAACACTCATGCTCTCATGTCCCCAAAGAATGCCCCTTGCCATTTAATAGTAACATATTTTATTGTCAGCCAGCTTCCTGTACAACATGTTTTTCTAACTTATTTCATATCTTCTTGCCTTTCTGGGATTGACTCCACTTTGTTTTCTGGTCTGTCGTATCATAGACTGTGGTGCATCTTGTCCTGTGTCAGTGTCTTTGTCCTCTTTTTCTTTTCTCTATTTCCCTTCTTCTCTGTCTTGCTTTTTCTATTTTGAATTTTGTCTCTGTCTCTTTCCCCTTAATTTTCAGTCTCTTCTTCCTCTGCTCCAGAATCTGCCCCCCACTACTACATTTCTCTAGTCTAACTTCTCATCAGTTTCCTTCTTCCCCTCCCCGTCTGCCCACTCACCCACACAGCAAAGCACCCACATCCCCTTACACCAAGATACCTAATAGCTAGGGAACACAACTAAAGATCAGTGTGAAGGACCTACTATATTGAGCAGTAGCAGAAGAGGCACTGGAGCTGTCTGCCTGCAGACTTCGGAAGACAACACTGTGTTGGTTCACATTAGATTACCATTTGGAAGGTTATGTTTGCTGCAACAAGGTAGACTGCTATATTCTGCAGAAACTGATGGCACACTCGCCCATGAAAATTTCTACTTGCTATATTCATGCTGGTTCATGCTGTTACTCTGTTAAGGTGATTGCTGTAACAATTTTGTTTTAGAAATTTCTTTAAGATCTTTTACCTTTCTTCAATATTTATAAAGAATCCAAAGACCAGCACCATGTGTCCATGCCACTGGCATATCTCTGGCAACACATTTTCAGTAATAGCTGCAAGCATCTGATCATGGCCCCATATGAAATCCAGTCCAAGATGGATGTCAGAATTAAAAAGATGTGGGGAACAGTTATCATAAAAACATGAGAAACAGCAGACTTTTCTTCAGGGAAGAATGAGGAAGTGGCATTAAGATTGACAGCAGAAAGGTCAACAAATGGTGAACTCAGCTAACAAGAGACTCGAATAGGATTTTAGGAAAACATTGGCTAGCTCTAAAGAAACAGTGTGTAAGTTTCTACTGTGGAGGTTGTCACACTGACACCATGTATTCTATAGTTATTGAAGACATAGGGTGATCTATACACTTTGGCTTTGTATTCTGTCTTTGCTGGCTTAATTAATCAATTAGGGCAATATAGTCCTACAGATATTTTGGATAGACTTTGATATGACCAAAACTTTGCATACAGTGTTAAATTAAGAACAAATGTTCTGCATTTTGACTGCCAGATACAACATTTCTGAGGTTTAAAGCAGATTGGATTTGATCTTCCTATTAATGTACATTACATATGGTACTTTTTAAAAAAAAGACAAAGTTACATAAAATATAGTTAGTGGGGCTTTTAATCTATTATAGAACCATGTTTTTCTGAACCAAAATGTACCCCAAATATGTCTAAACTAGAAATCTCTAAAGTAGTCAGAAAGTACACAGACACATTTACAGCAGAGTAACATGTAGAAATATCTGATGAAGGCAGATGACTTCTCACTCCGACCCTCCCTTTCCAACATGTCCTTGGACTAAATTCTCCCCTTTTTCAAGACAGTAGGCCATTTCTCATGCTTTAACTGTCCCACAGAATTAATATTTGACTTTATCGCCATAGTCTCTGGACACACTTAGTACCACCCAGGGGTTGTGTGTAGTATCAGGGACTCATTGTGGTAGGGACTGTACAAATGTGTTGATTGACACTGTCCCAATCCCAAAGAGCCTACTGTCTCAGAACTGCACTGACTTCTTATGTGCCAAGAAATGTAGGCATGCACTCACTCACTGTCAGGTGGGGCAGGCTATGCCTTTTGTCCTGTGTTTGTACAGTGCCTGGCAGAGTGGGATTTTGGTCCATAAATGGGATTTCTAGGCACTACAGTACCACTAATAATGATAGTAATTGGAACGGAGCCCTTAGAGGATGCAAGTGGTTGTCTTAATCTTCAAACTTCCTATGATGTACTGTTCTACTGCTAGCATGTCAGGAGTGGCCATGGATACCTATGGACACTACATCTGCAGGAGGCCCCCAGTTCCCACCGGAGCTGGGATTATATTGATTGCAGGAGTACTTTGATGTTCACTGGGGAAGGGGCCCATGTGCCAGAAGGCTATCCCTGTGTAATGTTAAACCAAACCCTTTAGCGAAGGGTCTTTATTGAAGTGCAAAAAGAAAAGACCCATTGTAAAGTAATAGTTAGCCTCAAAATGAGTAACCTCATGTGCACCTGGGAAAAAGCAATCTGCCTTTAAACCCAAGAATAAATAGATCGTCATGCAAGCTAGCTCATGAATCACAAAAATAGATTGGGGACTATCCTTGAAAAGATCGTGGGGGTTTGTGCTTTCCAGTAATGTGGAGCACATGTATTTCCTTTCTCCAAGGTTTTACTCTGTTAGTTTTTAGATTGTCCTGTTAGAACAAAGATACCTTGGAAGTCTTTGACTGTTCACTGTTTTAATGATTGCCAAACAAAGAAGGATTTAAAGAATAAAATGGAAATTTAAAAAAAAAAAAAGGAATTTGCTGTAAGGACTTTTTATCTATCACGGTGTTTTTAATGCACCTTCCCCCATGATGTCTAAACATAACCAAAATGATAAAAGCAGGCTGTCTACCTGATTTCTCCCCTTTGCACTGTGACATGCAAAGAAGTGTGTGTTTGTTTATTATTATGCCAAGGTCACTTTGTCTGGAAGGCGGTAAGATTCAACATCATTCTAATCTCTTGCAGGCGGGAGTTCAAAAAGGCAGGAGGTCAGGTTCACTGGATAGTCCCTTCTTTCCTTAAACTCTGTGAATTGTGCTAGATAGTGTACAAACGTATAGCAAAGAGATGGGACTGACCCTGAAGAAGTTACAATCATACAATGCTTATGCTATCCAAATACTAGTAGTATTGTTATTTGAAGTATTAATTTTCTGAAAGAAGCCTTCACTATTTAAAGCTTGAATCTCTTGGTTTGTTCTGCAGTGTCACTGTCTGTTCTATTCACCCCCCTTTTAATGTAACCATACATGTAACCGCTGTCTGATTCTCTAGCAGACAATAAAAGTAGGGAATGCCAGTGAGCTACCATGGAGGAAAGAGATTAGTCTCTGAAAATTCCACTGAGCTTAGTTTCTTTCGCATTGACTCTCTAGTCAAAATACAGCCATATGGTGCTAATAAAAGAATGGGATGTTTATTTTCTTGACCACTCACATGCTGCCAAAATTGACAGCTTAGTGGCATGATGAAGATTGGAAACTCATGTCTCAGACTGTGAGGTCAAACTCCCATTCTCACTAACTGACAGTTAGTTCAGATGGCTGGTCAGTAGTGTGACTGCAGCAAAAATTCATTTGGCAGTGGAACTGTGCATACAGCAGAAACTGGAACAGAGAATTAGGAGGCTAATGAAACAGAGCCTTTCGTATCCAGCTCAGTATGGCACTGACCAAAAGTTATTGCCCTCTGACAACTCTTAGGTGCTCCTCAGGAAATAAGATGGTGAATTAGTTCCCAGTTGACAGAGGTCCGCATCATAAAACCACCATTGGAACTGGTACTAGCTTATCTGATATCACTCATGTCAGGTTTATCAGAAAGGCTAAGGGCTGAATAGACACTGAGGCTGAAGGAGGTTCTTGTCCCTTGAAATGGTGGGCATGACTTTCAGTCACCCTGCACTTATGACATTGCAAAGTGCATGTAAAATGCTACCACTCTGATTTGGTATGAATGACTATATAAGCTATATGGCAAAGACCTGGTCTTTTATAACATGGACAATGGGGGGGGGGGGGGGGGGGAGGCTGTGCTGTTCTTGTTCAGTGGATAAGCAGAAGCAATTACATACCATGGTGATGAGCTGATTAGAAATGTCTGAATCAATACAAGACACGAGTCTCCATGACTATCTGACCAACACTGGGCTCTCTAAAAATGTAGTAAAAACCAACCAACCAAACAAACTTGGCATCAGTGACTGACTTTTCAACTCTTCCCTGGCTGTCAGCATTGGATTGGTCTTCATGAAAGTGAGTGTATCTGAAGACGCACCTGTTCTGTGAAGTGTTCATGTTGTAAGGCCACTCTTCAGTCCTGTTTTCTATTGTATCCGCTCGTGCCTTTAAACTAAGCTCTTTGGGGCATGGTCTCTGTTAGCAGTTTAGCTCATTTTCCCAGCTCTACAGCTTTATGTACTTTTATCATCCTAGAGAAGGGATTAAAACAACCCTTGAATATGTCTCTGTGATTTATGATGGTATTGGGCCAGGTCGCCATCTTTCAGTACAACTACTAGAAGGGAGGAAAGGCAGAAGAAAATCCCAGGAGGCTGCCTCTCTAGAGTTCCTCGCCCCAAATCATTCCATTAGAGTGACAGTCCTCACCCCCTTGGCACCTGCTCCCAATACCCCATGGGTCCCCTGGGATCTTTGTGGACCTTGAGGGACCAGGTGGAAGCCAGAGCCATCTGTGTGAGGGACCCGTACCTCTGTGCTGGCTCTGTGCTCCCAGTGCCTCCTTCCCCACCCTGCTCCCTGATACCCTGGTTCCAGTGGAGACTGAGGGAGCCACACTTCAGTGAAGAGTGCCTGGGGGGCTCCTGACTTCTCCAGGATTTTTCCTGAAGACTCCCAGTAGCACATGATGTAACAGCTCCTCAGGCTGATGTGGAAGGGGCATGGCTATAGTCCCCATTCCCACCTCACCTATTTCTCTTTAGGGGGTATATTCCACAGCCATGTTCTGCATTGTTCCTTGTACCCTCTGCCACCTGTTATGTACCTGCCGCACAGGGCCAGCCACAGTCTGTCCCTAAATGTATATTTCATGTTCATTTTATCTTCTTAGTGTGGGAGAATTGGATGGTAAAACTAAGAAGTGAGTTTCGAGCTTCTTCATTAGCCCTTTTTCCA